CCAGGTGGTCCTGGCGTTCCTTTCGATTTTCAGGAGGTTGTGCCAGCAAAAGCACTTTGACAAATTATTAGCCACTTCGAGATGTTACTGATGTGTGTTGCGCATCACCGCGTTGCTACTCCTGGACCATCATTTAGAAAAATACAAAAATATTAACTAAAAAATATATTGTTACCACAATCGTCGTACTGACGAGGTCCAACTGTGGCAATGGTAAGAAATGTATACGACTTAATGGACCGAAACATTTCTTACCTAATTGCTTCTTTTTACATTTTTCCTCTTTTTTACTCTTTTTTGATCCTTTCTATCATCCATTTCTACATTTTCTAACAAAATTTTCACCTAACCTTAAATACATCGATTTCTAAAATGCAAGCAATAACCTTCAACGAGTGACTGGCTTGGCTTCACCGATAAGCCATATTCCCAATTGGCCCATTCGATCACGGGATCCCAATTCTTCTTTTGCAATTCCAATAATTTCGTGTTCTCCTCAAGGCGATATAATATGGTATCCTTATCCAAATAATCGAGCACTTGTGAGACCAAGTCCGACCTGCACTGTACACCTCGGCCTTATTTAAGCATAGGGTTAAATAGTCCGCTACAGTGCTTCTTCAGAAAAAAAGAAAATACAGTGCGATGTACAATCGCACAAAAAGAAAACGTAGGGTTTTCTGGGCAAGGGACATTTCCTAGGTTTCGAGATCATTCGAAGGATTGCGGGTGGGACAAAACTCTCACACATACATTGCTACATTTTGGTAAACTACTATAAATAAGCATCGAACAATCGGCTGGCGGGCAAGATGCGGTAGCAATTAGCACAGTTCTCCTCTTGAAACTCACGAGTTCAAATTCGTCTAGGTATCATTCATTCTATTCTAGGTGGACCGTTTTTTAGCGTATGCCGGGCAAGCAAAAGTGCTCTCAAGTTCGCTTCCATGAAAAACTTGAAAGAGAAAGATATCGAGAATCCTACGGTCAGGTGGCTGCTACTGGCACTTAGGCTATTTCCGAGTGCCTCCGCTTCTCAATGAGGGTAAATTGGAGCATAAAACTTAATTTTTTTTGAAATCACATAATAAGTATCACCCGCGATGCTGATAATATTCGAATCAAAGCAGCGCATCAGCCAGCTGAAACTTGATGGCGAAAAATACGTAGATCTATTAAGCAGAGATGCGGATCTCAACACAACCACGGATTTTCTGTGGATCCCAACCAAAGGGAAGATATGTATGAAACCTGGAGTACGCTGGTTAATTTTTTATGCGTTTTTGCATATATGCAAATTGCAAAAACGCATATTGGGAAGAGGCTGTGTGTGT